GCCAACTTTACAAAAGAACTATGTTGTTATGAATTTAATGAAGCTAATTTGTTATTGTAGTTACTTGTATATATTTCTACGAACTCGGTCGAACTTAAAGAAGTTTGGTTTAGAACAAACACATAACTTCAAACATGTTGAAACGGAGAAAGTACAAGCAAATGCATAGGTATAGGACCATTCATTCATTCCATTATCTGCCTGCACCGGCGCCGGACAGAAACTTGTCTGAACTTATCAGTTGCCTCGTCCGCAAGCAAAATGAAAACTACTAAAGTACTCCATCCGTCCGAAAATACTTGTCATCAAAATGGATAAAAAAGGGATGTATCTAGAACTAATATACATCTAGATACATCCCATTTTATTGATTTATTGATAACAAGTATTTCCAGACGGAGGGAGTACGTACTAGAGTACGTCCGACTGCTATTTCTGGGGTGCACACGCGGTCCAGCACAAATACAACATAACCGCGTGAAACAGGCCGGCCTTCATTTCCTACCCTAGCCGCCGCCGCCACCAGGCGACTAGGGCGAGGCACTTTTTCCTCCGATCTCCACCGGCCGGTGCGCTGCCCCCCTCTCCCTTCGGCTGCTGCTCCGACGGCAGGAGGGAGGGGGGACCCCATTCCTCCGCTCTGTAGTTAGATTTTGGATTTGTAGGTCGTGGTGCGTCGTTGGGGTGGTGGGAGCGGCGCCCGGACGAATAAATCTGCCTCAACCCCACTCTCACACCGGCGGTGTCCTTCATGGTGGCGTCTCGGAGTTGATGGCATCGTGTCTCTGTCGATTCCTCAGATCGACAGCGTTAGGGTTCATGGATGGTGTTGACGAGGCGGCGGCGGCGACTCCATCAGGTGTGTCTCTCCTTCTGCTCTGTCCCCGTTGCTGTGGCGTTGTCTCCGACGTCATGGTGGAGCAGGGAGGTCTTGTCGTTCAGGAGTACGCGCAGACGGTTGTCTACGCAAGTGACAGCTGAAAGATGGAGTATCTTGTGTTGGGTCTGTGGTCGAAGGCGGGCAGTTCTGGTTTCCTTCTCCGACGTCGTCGTCATACGAGGGTGTCAGTTCTGAAGTTCGATGGCGTGTCCGGGGACATGTTGCCCCGGTCTGATTCTTTCAACGGCTATGGTTTTGCTTTTGGCAAACTACTTTGGAGGTCCGTAAAGCTGCTGATCAGCGATGGAGCAGCGTCGAGCTTGGGCAAAGAGGTGATCTGTCTTTTTACCCTTTAGTGGCCGCTTCGGTGGTGTCGAAGGAAAGGGACAGACGCTGGTATTTTGCATAGGATCTTCCTATCTTTTCAGTCATGTATGATCGGTGCTTACGTGCCTTGTAACTTGATCTTTATTCTATATAAATGAGACACGTATTATCATGCAAAAAAAAAAACAAATACAACATAACCAAATCGCACGCAACCTGACAATTCATGTGATGCAAAAAAGTTTCAATCCATGAGGCAATCAGAGGGGCTCGTCGTGGGCAGTCAACGGGACAAGTTCCTTCCAGTTCACAGGTGATAAAACATCCGAGTCATGTTCTTCTGACTGGAGATAGACAAATTCATCGAGCTGCTGCATATACAACATATGGACAGCAAGCAAAGCAAAGCCGCACACGTTATTACATCATCAGAACTTTGCCTCATTTAGTCATTTTGACATTGCCAAGACTATGTACATTACATAGAGAGAAGGGGAGCACCACACGGCTCCCCTTCTTCCCAAAGTCGATAACCAGCAAACGATGATGATGCGTCTAAAAGAGAAACATGACAACAGATAAGGGAGAGACTAATCAGTAATCGCAACTAAAGCACGGCTTAAATGCACATCACATTCCATTTGCAAAAACCTGACGGCAACAAGCCACCAACCAACAATCGACAGAGAAGCGGTAAGATAGGACCAAATCGATCATGCCGCAACAAACTACAACATTCTTTATTCCCTATTACTCTGAAGGATTGGTGCATAAGCAGGCATGAAAAATGCATATTGCTGACGATATTCCAGTCCACGTAGTAGCATACAACTAACAGAGAAAAAATTGGCCCATGCATGATCAGGTGCAGTATAGGGCAAACACACAACATGCCACGCCTGCTTATTATTGATGTACGGCAGGCACGGGTTGCGGGGGCACCAGCAGGGGGCGAGCTAGTACGACGACGGATGATCCGAACAGAGGCAGTCGTCCACCAGCTGCCGGAGGTTGGGGTTCTCCAACGCCGCCGCGACCCTCTCCTTGTCGTTCAGCTGTTTGTTTACTGTCAATCCAGCATGTTAATAACGACATACCATACTAAAGTAGCGCTGTTCAAACACAATTGTGCTATACAACTGCCGTTCTCGTTTTGCAGAGTTCAGCAGGTACAGAGTAAAATGAATTAATTGTGTAGTTCCATCGATAATGCTGCCCTGTCATGAGTTATAATGCCCAATCGTATTAGACTGAAAGCTACAAGCTTAGCCATGAGTTAGGTATTTGTCATCTTACGCACCTGATTCTTCATTAGCAAGAGATCCTGGAGCAACCTTAATGTCAATCTGCACATTCATACAACCCCCCAAAAAAAGGAATCATATTCCCACTGAAATGCTTAATAGCTGAATAATATATTCATCAGGAATTATTATGAAGGGGGTTTTGTTCAAAATATTATGATATACTTTTTTTTTGGAGATCGTTTGCATTATACCTAGCTCCAAATCTTAAACAGTGCTACTGAAGACAAGCACCTGACTACATAACTTGCAGATCCATGAATAGTATTCTACAGAAAATATAAGTTTAAAAGACTCAGAGATGATTTATGGTTCCTCTGAGGCAGATAAAAAAACCATCATAAATGGTTCAGTAGGTTTATTAACATTCTTATAGGTTATAGGAGCTAGCTTTTATGTGTGCACACAATTTACGGTGTATGGCTTGTGATGCCTGTCTGCTTCTCTTGATCTACACAATGTTTACGAATTTGCAAACATGCACATCTGTGTACATATGTGGCAAGTGTCTTGAGGGATGAAAAAAAACAATATCAACTAATGGTTAAATTTGTGACATTCCAACTATCCCATATTTCACTGCACAGAGACAAAAGATAACAGAAGTGCCTAAAATGAACATGCGTGAAAACTCTAAAAGTTTGGATAATGGCTGCTGATGGCACATATGCTACATAAAACATAATGTAAAGCATCTCAAGTCTCAACCAGTTGACTTAATCAGAACACCATGAATACAGAAACATAGTAATAAGCACCTTGAAATGCGGAGGGAAGTTTTGCATCAACTTAAGCCTGAGGCACAGACCAATCACTGTGGCCATACTGCAGTGTTGCACAGTTGGGGTGAAGGTTATCCTGCAAGCAATTTTAAGGTGTGAACAGTGATCCCAACAAACTGAAGCTGAATGATGCTTGTCAATTTCTTGCATGAAACAAAACATATTTTGTACGAGCATACTGTACTGTACAACGAGAGTAACAGAGGATGCTTTGCCCGCAGTAAGCAAATGCACCCTGAAGGTCGCAGAGTCCGTATACAGAATAAAGACATAATCTATAAGGATCGGCAAAGCTAGTGGGATATCACATCCCAAGCAGCAAGCAATCCTATGAGACATTCGTCTATTTAATTCTAGAAAAGCAATCAACCCTCCATTTCTGTACGCAACGTGCCTTCAAGATCATACTCTGAATCTCCACTGAGATGTAGGGAGTATAATATGAATGGTCAAATTGACTTGGTAGATCGTTTATGGTAGCAACTATCTTGTCACGAATGTAAATCTAGCTAGCCGGACTGTACGAACCGCGCACGCCGCGTTCCACATTTCGACTGAAGTAGTAGGAACCCTCAATGATTCTGGCTTCTAAGATTGGAAGGGGATGGTAGGGGCATGAGTGCATGACACGCCTGGAACAAAGCAATTACCATTGGAAATTAACACTGCCTCCCAGTCCCAGCCCCTACTAATCTGAATATCTGATAACTTGGTACCCTACTCATCGGAAAAGCTGAGCACATTCTTGCAGGCATACGTACTGGATGTGGCCGAGCTTCTCGTCGACGGAGACGGACTCCTGGGAGAGCACGCTGAGCTGCTCCAGCGAGTAGGGGTGCTCCGGGTCCTTGATGTCCCGCACCGTATCTGCACGCGCCCAAATCAGTCAGTCCCCCCGTCGCCGTCGGTGAAGGCAATCCAATCCAATCCAATCCAATCAATCAATGGAGGAAAAAGGGAACCCGAGGGATCCGGGGAGGGGAAGTTTGTGCTTCCGTTACCGAAGACGTCGAGCGCGTCGAGCGCCGCGTGCGCGGGGTGGGCGGCGCGCTCCGGCCGCTCGTGCACCACCGGGTTCGCGTTGATCATCCCCACCGTCATCTCCCCCCTCCCCCTCCTCCCCGGCGGCGGCGGTGCTCTGCCGTGCGACTTCGGTCGTCGGCCGAGAGAGAGAGCGACAAGAGGACAAAAGTGTTGGCGAGCTAGCAGTTTCGGTTTGGGGAAAAAGTGGGGCGAGCGAGCGAGCCGGTTTTTGCTAATCCGGTGGGCCGCGGCCCGCCTAACTTTCCCGCGACATGCGAGATGCCGCCGCCCTGGAGCCCCACGCCGCCGGGGCGCCGCGGACGGCCGCCGACCACTGCGCGCGCCTTCTGCGGCTGTGCGGCGCGGCCGCCAACCCGGGCGCCGGGCGCGCCGTCCACGCGCGCGCCGTCAAGGCCGGCCTCCTCGCCAGCGCCTACCTCTGCAACAACCTCCTCTCCTACTACGCCGCCGCCGGAGGAGGCGGCCTCCGGGAGGCGCGGCGCCTGTTCGACGAGGTCCCCGCGGCGCGGCGGAACGTGTTCACGTGGAACTCGCTGCTGTCGGCCTACTCCAAGTCCAGCCGCCTGGCCGACGTGCGCGCCGTGTTCGCGGAAATGCCCGAGCGCGACGCCGTGTCGTGGACCGTCATGGTCGTGGGGCTCAACCGCGCCCGCCGCTTCGGGGAGGCCGTCGAGGCGTTCCTGGACATGGTCGGGGACGGGCTGGCGCCGACGCAGTTCACGCTCACCAACGTGCTCTCGTCGTGCGCGGCCGCGGAGGCCGGCGGGGCCGGGCGGAAGGTGCACTCCTTCGCGGTCAAGCTCGGCCTGGGCGGCTGCGTGCCCGTGGCCAACTCGGTGCTCAACATGTACGGCAAGTGCGGGGACGCCGAGACAGCGAGGGCCGTGTTTGAGAGGATGCCGGCACGGAGCGTGTCGAGCTGGAACGCCATGGTGTCGCTCGACGCCCGTCTGGGGAGGATGGACCTTGCTTTGTCCTTGTTCGAGAGCATGCCGGACCGGACCATCGTCTCGTGGAACGCGGTCATCACGGGGTACAACCAGAATGGGCTTGACGCCAAGGCACTGTGGTTCTTCTCGCGGATGCTGCGCCATTCTTCTTCCATGGTGCCGGATGAATTCACAATCACCAGTGTCCTGTCAGCTTGCGCCAACCTTCGCTTGGTGAGCATCGGAAAGCAGGTGCATGCATACATCTTAAGTAGCGGGATGCCGTGCGTCGGTCAGGTCACCAATGCCCTCATCTCAATGTATGCCAAGTCCGGCAGCGTTGAGAATGCCAGGGGGGTGATGGACCAGGCAGTGGTGGCTGATCTGAATGTGATATCCTTCACCGCTCTCCTGGAAGGCTATGTCAAGCTTGGAGATATGAAGCGTGCAAGGGAGATCTTCGATATCATGAGCAACCGAGATGTCGTCGCCTGGACTGCGATGATTGTTGGCTATGAGCAGAATGGTTACAACGACGAGGCCATGGAGCTCTTCAGGTCAATGATCAGAAGCGGACCAGACCCAAACAGCTACACGCTCGCTGCTGTTCTTAGCGTGTGTGCGAGCCTGGCGTGCCTTGACTACGGCAAGCAGATCCACTGCAAGGCCATCAGATCACTGCAGGAGCAATCTAGCTCCGTCAGCAATGCCATCGTCACCATGTACGCGAGGTCAGGCAGCCTGCCATTGGCAAGGAGGGTGTTTGATCGGGTCTGCTGGCGCAAGGAGACGGTGACATGGACGTCGATGATCGTAGCCTTGGCGCAGCATGGCCTGGGAGGAGACGCCGTTAGCCTGTTTGAAGAAATGCTCCGCATCGGCGTGAAGCCGGACCGAATAACCTATGTCGGCGTGCTCTCAGCGTGCACCCATGCTGGCTTTGTGGACCAAGGGAGAATGTACTACCAGCAGATGCAGGACAAGCATGGCATCGTGCCTGAGATGAGCCACTACGCGTGCATGGTCGACCTGCTCGCCCGTAGCGGCCTGCTCTCCGAAGCTCAGGAGTTTATCCGGCAAATGCCCGTGGAGCCCGACGCGATCGCCTGGGGGGCGCTGCTCTCGGCCTGCAGGGTGCACAAGGACGCGGACCTGGCGGAGCTGGCGGCGGAGAAGCTGCTGTCGATCGACCCCGGCAACAGCGGCGCCTACTCGGCGCTCTGCAACGTCTACGCCGCCTGCGGGAGGTGGGGTGACGCGGCGAAGGCCTGGAAGCGGAGGAAGGATGGAGGTGTGAGGAAAGAGACGGGGTTCAGCTGGACGCACGTGCGCGGCAGGGTCCACGTCTTCGGGGCGGATGACACCCTGCACCCGCAGAGGGAGGCTGTCTACAGGATGGCTGCCAAGATGTGGCAGGATATCAAGAAGGCTGGCTTCGTGCCGGACCTCCAGTCGGTCCTGCACGACGTCGATGACGAGCTCAAGGAGGAGATGCTGAGCCGGCACAGCGAGAAGCTCGCCATCGCGTTCGGCCTCCTGGCCACGCCTGAGGGGACGACGCTGCGGGTCATGAAGAACCTGCGGGTGTGCAACGACTGCCACACAGCGATCAAGTTCATCTCCAAAGTCGCGGACAGGGAGATCATCCTGCGGGACGCCACGAGGTTCCACCATTTCAGGGATGGGTTATGTTCTTGCAAAGATTATTGGTAGAAAACCTTTTGATTCCCAAGGAAGGAGGAATGCTTTGTTGGTTCATTCTTGCAGATCTAACCGCTCCAGAAGAAGGGGCGGGTCTATGGTTCATACATGTCAGCAGCACACTGCGGTATTCCAGATGGATCGCGACAAGTCGCCTGGCCCAAATGGTTTCCCGGCTGAATTTTGCCAACAAAATTGTGAACTCGTCAAGTGGGATTTGAAATCTCTGCTTGATGACTTCCATAGCGGACAAATAGATATCTCTAGACTTAGTTATGGCTTAGTTACCTTGATCCCAAAATGCAGGGATGCTACACGAATACGAAAATTTAAACCCATTTGTCTCCTCAACGTGAGTTTCAAAATTGTTACAGAGGTTCTCATGAATAGGCTGAATTGCGTAGCTGGTGCCATGATTTCCCCTTTCCGGACAACTTCTGTGAAGGGCAGACACATAATGGGTGGGTTATTAATTTTACATGAAACCTTCAATACTATCCATACAAGAAAACAAGATGCTCTTCTTTCCAAAGTTGATTATGAAAAGGCCTACAACAAAACATACCTGAGATTAGTGTTCGTTAGTCTCCAGAACCATTTAGAGACATAGGCTTTGTTCATGTAAGTGAGATTTTGTACACCCAAACCACCCTGGTCCTTTTGTAAACACACCACCGACCATCTAACTAGTGTTTTAACACAGGACAGGAATCGCTATAATTCGAAACATATATGTGAAGAATCAATGCCTGTCCTGTGTCATAACAAAGCCTGGTGATTCCTAGTTCTGGGCTGGGTTAATTGCCAACAAGAAAGTTTCTTTTTTATTTATCCAAACACCATGTGGGTAATGGCAAAAACACATGGTTTTGGGAAGATTGGTGGATTGGTAATAGGCCATTAGAGCAATCATATCCTCAAATGTATAGCATTTGCCTAACTAAAAATGTTTGGTGTTGCAGATGTTCTGAAGAATGGACGGGGCTGTTAAATTTAGAAGAACCTTGTGTGGGGGTGATACTCTGACTCTTTGGGAGAGTGAGTATTCAGGAACCTTGTGCAGAAACACACCTTGCTGGTTGTGATGATACGGTTGAGTGGTCAACCACTGCTAATGGGACGTTTTCTGTCAAATGCATGTACAGAGCTTTACCGGTGCAGGAGTTCCTCTGGAAAGTCAAATGCCGATGAAAATCAAAGTCTTTCTGTGGCAAATAGCCGATTTTCTCGTGATAGCAACATGCTAAGGACAATTTGCTGCAGCGAGGATGGCGTGGAGATGGTTCCCGTCAGTTCTGCGGGTGTCCTGAAAGTAATGATCTTTAGGAGTGAACTCTTTGGCTCCTGGCTCCCCGGATTTAAGCTGGAAAGGAAATTGATTGCGGTTGCTTCTGAGAATGTGTCGATTCGTCTAGCTGGACATTGGCTTAACAACAACAACAACAACAACAACAACAACAACAACAAAACCTTTAGTCCCAAACAAGTTGGGGTAGGCTATGGACATTGGCTTAACGCATGGTTTATTTTGCAGACAAAACAGGTAAACCGTGAGGCGATGACCTGGAGGACCTAAAGCTATTCCAGCAAATAGCAAACGAGGTGTTTCGTTCAAAACCGTTGATCAGTACTGATTGATGCATACTGCTGCTGGGACTTCACAAGGAGGACGGGGGATTTATATTCAACCTCTTTCTGTCTCTTGTTCACTCTGCTGGAAGTTCCTTTGGGCCTGTAACAAGTGTTTGCTGCTGTTTTGCGCCCATTCGAGGGTTATGGGGTTTGTTTTGCCTCTCAAGTGTTAAAACATTTGGTTTCACATATATGAAGCTTTAGAGGAAGCTCTCTTTCTTCAAAAAAGTAAATGTCAGCTTCCGTTATGAACAAGGCCAAAGTGTCTTCCAGAAAAAACATGAAAGTGTAACTCCGCAAGTGCTTATCTAGCAACATTCTTTCACGATAGTCGATAGAGTGGACTCGACGGGTAACTCGCATGATCGAGCAATTTCGGCAAAAATGCGGCTGCTTCCACCCGTTCTGGGACTTGGTAGGAAGAAAAGTGTCCAGATGCCAACCTGTAGTCATCAGCGTCTCAGCAACCAGACAGAAAAAAGTAGTATTACTAATTTAACCTGTTTTTCAAAATCTTGGTTGTAAACATCACTAAAGTAATGTCGGGTCAAAAGAGCAGAGGTACATGTTGGAAGCACTATAGCAAAACAAAATAATGGCACCGGAGCCCCACTCTCCACGATTCTTGATTTCCAAAATTTTGCCTCCTGGGATGTGGCGGTAGACATGTCAGTCTCTGGAGGAAGCAGCCGTCCCAGCCATGGCTTGGTGACAAGATTGGTCAAGGGTTAGCCTTTGAGTGCTGCAGCTCCATGGCGCCTTTCCTTCTTGAAGCGAGCTTGATCTGGGTCAAAGCCGCCTTCGTCTGCGCCATAGACGGCCCAAGAAGGTGTCACGGCCATGTAATCACTGCTCTTGAAAGGCTTGCCAGATGTCACCTGCATTGGTGAATGAATGTCAACTCAGATGAAACTCTCATCTTTATCAGTCACATCTCAGTCTCTATCTACGTCAGTAAATGGGTACAGACAATAATGTATGGGAGTGCCGCATCATCACAATTTTTCCCTGCCATCTGATTTCTGATGCAAATGTATATATATAGGAAAAGATAACAATGCACAACGCAAAACATGGCTTCAAAAACATAGCTCCATGCCTGGATTTTATGGACATAGGTTCGTAACTTCATATGGTGCATGTATTGTCAGTTTGAGTACTTGCGCACTATTAAATTTCCCAAAGTAACATAGTACTAGAACATGTTATAGGATATGTACGCATGCAAAAGTTTGTGCAAAAACATGATCATATTGTGCACACATTTTTGCATGTGTGCAAGAGCGCCTAATGATTTATTTATTTTGCACAATTTTGTATGTACACATATTCTAAGACGATCAAGTGCTGCAATTTGTATTTCTAATGCACATTATATAAGCAATACGTACTTGCTTATGAGCATAGGCTCATATGTACAAGATGATTTTATTTTGGCAACCTACTGATACATGATGCACATAGAATAATAACTTGTGTACCGACACAAATGCTCAACCGCAGTATTAATTATTCTTGGAGGAAAGCTCACCAGTTCATTGAATCGGTCGTAATCTATCCAGGTATGCCATTTTCCATTGATCTTGAACTTGTCCACCTTTGCGAGCAGGACACAGCATGAATGCACATGCTCGCAGGCTAATTCATATATGCCACCACTTTTTGATGCCAACACCTCAGAGAATTCTTTTACATCAGCGTGCCAGGGGACATTTTCCATTGTCAACTTTGAAGTTGCTGACCTGTATGCATTACCGGAAAATATCAGCAACCCAAGAAGCCAAGCCAGAATCAGCATGTGATATTTTATTTTCTTTAAAATTCACTTACGAGCCACAGTATGTTACACCCTTGATTTCAATGAAATCAGGTTGTCCAAGTTTTAGTAAGTTTGCATATGCATCTATCTCTTCCACATTCCAGCCTTTGACCAGTGTCAGTCGGTACACCGTCCTTTGATCTTTGTCATGCAGGGACTTGAGCGAATCCTAAATATCAAAGTTAATAGTACGCAATGATAAGAGTTAGTATTTGTAAACCATAATTTCATGATGTGCATCTGCAAATATTTCTGCATATATACCAGAAAACGCTCCCAGAAGTCCGAAAAGAGTGGCCTATCAACAGCCTTCAGGCTTTCTTTTGTAGCTGCATCCACACTGACATACAGCTGCAACCATAGATAGAGGCATTATAATTATCTCTAGAATGTGTTGTCTGGGCATTAAAATGCCAAGCTCTGGATCTTAATTTCAATCAATTGAGAATATTACCTGGGTGATAGGTTTCAGAGCCTTAATCTTTTCAGGAAATTGAGCATTTGTAACCAGAAACGTAGATATGTGTCTGCGATGTAGGTCATCAACCAGAGTATTTATCTCTGGGTACATAATTGGTTCGCCAACAAGAGATAATGCACAATGTCTAGGGGATAGACCCTCTGCTAGTCGCTCTGGCTTTACTCCTGAAAGAAAGAGAGCAAGAAACAGCATAATTAAAGACCACAGTGTACTTCATGATACAAATATTATGGTACTAACTAATATTCCAGGCAGAACCACTGCATTATTTAATCAATAGCTTTACAGGATAATTATGAGGTTCTATTAATCATGTAGAGCCTAAGTTCTCAGCGCTGCAGGCTGAGTACACAAAATAAACAGATCAAAAGTTCACACTTGATGGAGCCTGGCATATCTTAATGGAACACTTCCGTCACGATTATTGCTGGCATAGGGTTGAAAACCTTTTAAAGGCTGTATGCGTTTAGGCAAGTTACAGGTATTTTGCCATGGATCTATTTTTTGTCCGGGCACTAGAATATTCAGTGCAACTTTTATTTGGCAGAATAATGCATACCTGGCACGCCTTTCATTTGCTTAACCATCTTCCTGTGTTCGTCAATTGCAGTATTAACAATGTCAAGAGGATCGTCCATCTTCCACTTCCAACTCTTCCCAACAGGATTTGTGTGATGCCTCCAACAGAACACACACTTATTTGCACAAGCCAAACTTGGAGTTGCCTCCATGCATCTACAAAATTGAGCATCTAATAATCAGAAAACAAACACTGACGGAAGCAAACCACACAAATATTATGTTGTGCGGAGTGGATCTATGTTATGAAACCGATCTGTGACATAGAATATGTATGAACTAGTCCAACCATGTATTCAGCAAGCATTCCAATATACCATGCTACAGAAGCAAAAAAAATTCACCTGTGGCTTTCTATGCCATAAAATGAGTGCTTGTAACACCCTCCCCGACCTCGAAGCTGTGACTTCGTCCATCTACAAATCTTCACCCCACTATGAGAACCAACAATTTTGTAGCCCTGGAAAAAAACCACAGGGATTGATTAATAGGGCACTAGATTGCAATATGTAGAATGAAAATATAAAGACGAAGCACATAAACTACAGAAAACAACTGTAAATTGTTAATCCCATCTAAACAGGTGGAGAATTCTACCTTATAGGCAAGGACCACAGAGATCTGAGTACATACACAACCCTTGTGTTAACCAACATCAGTTTGGGATCAGGAAAAGTTGTCTTAGATCCTAATCGAAAGTTCCATGAAGATGCTTGGTTGATTACTTGGCAGTTGCTTCAACAATCTCACTCTATCATAGCAAATTGCCAGACTAAGTATCTACACGAACCATTATTTTCACTAGCACGACATATACTAGTTCGATAAATTTAGAGGGGAACTAATTTATTTGCTGCCTAGCTATGCTTAAAAACTGCCTCAGCCCACAGAGATCTTAAAATTTTACTCTAGTTTCTTACCAGTGATGTATGTCAGGTAAGCATAGATTATAAAAAAAGAGCAGAATTGGCAATACTCTATTTTCATTAGGCATCATAGGACTCTTCAAAATTTCAGGTTGAAGCGCTTTTACATATGCAGTCAAGAGCATTATTATGTAGTATAACAGAAAGAATGTAACAACAAGTTGATGCTCACTTGTTTCTCCAAGCTCGCCCTGATTATGGGCGTGACCATGGCCCTCGCGCCGTTCTGCCCTCCATTGGGCAAAGCACCCTCCACCTTCCCATTCTGCTTCTTTGCTGTCGCCTTGCCGGCAATGTCTTCCATGTCAACCTCCCCACTAGCCACCTCCTCCTCCTCTTCCTCCTCATCATCGTCATCATAATCGGACTCCTCCCCTTCCAGCCCATCAAACCCATTGGTCTCTCCATCGACTCCGTCCTCCTCAACCTCCTCCCCTTTGACCACCCTGAGCACCCTCCCGCACCACTCCTCGAAGACGTCATCGAGGTCCCCCTCATCCACGTCGCCCTCCCCGACGGGCAGCACCTCGACGGCCCCGAGCGCGCGGAGCCAGCGCGAGAAGCTCCTGGCGGCGGCGTTGAAGGTGTCGCCGTAGGCGCGGGAGCCGACGCCGAAGACGGCGAAGCGGAGGCCCGAGAGGAGCAGCGCCCCGGCGCGGAAGTCGGCGGCGGTCTCCGCGAGCCAGCGCGCGAGGAAGGCGGCGCCGGGCGGGGGCGCCCCGGCGTCGTGCGTGGGGAGGACGAGGAGGAGCAGCGGGACCGAGGGCAGGTCGTCCGGGTCGAAGGCGGCGGCGTCGGTGGCGCGGGCGGGCAGCCCGGCGTCCGCGAGGCGGGCCGAGAGGCGCGCCGCGAGGGCCTTGGAGGTGCCCGTGGCCGAGGCGTAGAGGAGGGTCGGGGCGGCGGCGGCGGCGGG